CCCCGCGGCCCCGCCCCCACCAGTCGTAGTCCACCACGGCGATGCTGAGCCCCACGCTCTCCACGCTCTCGGGGGCCACGTCGAACACCAGCGCCTCATTGTACGTGGGGTTCAGCGTGTTCTTCTTGATGGAGGTTTTGCGCTTCTTCAGACGCCGCCCCTCGCTGATCAGAGAGGCCTTGACGTAGGGGTCTGGGGCGGAAGGAGGGGACTGGAGGAGGCCTCCTCCCTCACACCAGGGACGCAGGCCCGGCCTCCTCCCTCCGACCCAGGTAGGCCCAGCCTCCCGCTTGCCCCCTCTGTGACTCACCTGAGAAGCCCGTGAGGTCCATCGCTTTGAGGTTAGAGGCTTTGATGATGGTCACGGTGAGGCGCCCGGCAGTGGGGAGGTAGCAGAGTGAGAAGTTGAGCTCCCCGAGATCTGCCTTCTCCTGCAGTGGGGAGGGGGCTCAGAGACTCCAGCCCCTGACCCTGCCTTGTCCTCCCCGCGCCCCGGGAGCCTCCCTGTCCTAGGCCCCTGCTTTCCCATGCACTGAATCGTCTTGATTTGAGTCTGGGCCGAGGGTTCAGCCCCTGAGCCGCCGCTGCCAGACTGTCGAAGCCGGTTTGCTCTGCATGAAGACGGTAAGACGCAGGAGAGGGAGGGACAGAGAGACAGACAGTGGGGGTGGGACCAGGAGAAACAGGAGGAGAGGCCGGAGCACTGACAGGTCCCACTGGAAAGAGATTCAGGGTGGAATTCTACCCTGAGAGGGACCGTGACCTGGACAGGGACAGAGAGAGACCGCGGGCAAACGGGCCTGGGCTGCAGGACTACGGAGACCCGGAGAGAGGGAAGCCCCCGCGAGCACAGACTGGACCCCACGCTCTGCGAGAGGAAAAGCCCGGGAGACGGCCACTTCCTCACGTCCCATAACCCCGACCCCTGCCACCAGCCTCGGGGCCTGGACCCGCAGCTCCCGAGGACCTTCCGGGTGCGGGACTGAGTGAGGGGACCAGTGGAGGAGGACCCTAAGTGACGATGACAGGAGATCACGAGAAGGGCCAGGCACAGGGAGACCAGCTGGGCACGGAGAGGGCAAATGGGAAACTGAGGCCGGAACGGGTCCCCTTCTGACGCAAGGACCAGTCTCACACCCTCCCACAGCCTCCCAGCCCTCAGAGAACGGAATGCTCGGTAACCCAGGGGCCAGGATGGGGGATAAGGAGTCAGGGGTCTGAGGCGTGGGTCCCCCAGCGAGGCTGAGGAGGGGCTGGGGCACGGATGGACACACGGGAGAGTGACCTGCCGGAAGGGAAGTCATGACAAATGGTTGTCCCATCTGGGTTAGGCCGCCAGGGAACTGGGGGCCCAAGCCCCACAATCTCGAGGAATTAGGGGGCAGCCCGGGCACCTCTGCTTACAGGGCTCAGGGGGAGGGGACCATGGAGAACAGAGGGACAGAGAGGAAAGCGTCTCAAGGTCAAAGGTTAAAAGAATTAGGAAGTTCAGAGGTAGAGAGGGCTGGGCTCCAAGAAGACTAGAAGTTGGGGCCAGGAGGTTGGAAGGGTGCGGGAGAGGGGAAGGGAGGTGAGCAGTCAGGACCCGAGGTCAGAGGTGATGTCACAGGCCAGTTGTCAGGAAGTGGGGACCCAGTCCCGAGGCCGAGGTGTGGCCAGGTCGGACAGGGCAGGGGTCCTTGCTTCACTCCTGGGGTGGCTTGGACGCTTGCGGTACCATGTGGGAGGAGTTAGGCTGTCCGGGTGCACAAGCCCGGGCCTGGGGTGGGGAGGGCACTGACCGAGCCGCCCTCCATGATGTCCCTCCAGAGCGGGCGATCGGGGGGCTGCTCGGCCAGCTCCAGGAGGTTGTCCAGCACCACCTGGCCGATGAGGTCATGCCGCGAGAAACGGTCAAAGTCGTACACGCTAAAGTGCAGCTTGCGCTGGGCCAGCTCAGCCAGGGGCACCGAGAACTGGAACGTCTCGTTGAAGATGGGGTTCAGGGTCTTCCTGTGCACCTGCGGGGTGGACGGGAGGAAGATGGACACCGACCCCCAGAGGCCGGCTTCCCCCTCCGCCCGCAGCCCCAGGAGTCTGGCCACCGCCCCAGACCTTAGTCTGAAACTTCTTCTTGCGGTCAGGTAGCAGGTAAATCTTCACGTAGGGGTCTGAGAAGCCATTGGAGTCCTTGGCCGGGAGGTCCAAGGCCTGCAGGATCCGAACCACCAGCTGGTCGGAGCCGTAGAGGTACCGCAGGGCAAAGCTGATGCGGCCACAGGGGGTGCCTGCCTCACCCCCGCCGCCCCTCCGGCCCCCCGGGCCGGTGCCCTGGTACAGCTCGGGCTTGATCTGCCCGATGAGTTTGGCTTTCTCCTCGCCGCCGGGCAGGGGGAGGGAGAGGGCGGGCGGCCGCTCCTCGCTGTTGGGGTCCGGCTGTGTAGTCAGCGTCTGCTGCGTGAGGGGCCGCGGCAGGGCCGGGTACCTGTGGGCAGAGGGGTGCCCAGGCAGGGCGGGCGGCTGTGATCCCTGCCAGTCAGGCCGCTCACCCCCTCCTTGCTTCAGTGCACCTGGAACAGGCTGCCTGGGTGCTCTGAGCTCAGTTTCCCCGCTGGCATCAGAGAGGGGCGTTCACTCCCTTTCTAAGCTCCCTCCGGCCCAAACCTCTGGACCTGGGATGACGCAGGAGGACACAGCTCAGCCCAGCGCCCTCTCCAGCTCCCCACCCTCTGCCCACCTCTCGACCACCACCACCGACCACCACCGCCAGTCCTAGCTGAGGCCCGTCCTCTCACGCCTGGCCTCCTGGCCTGGCTCTCTCCCTCCCATCAGCCACACATGGCACAGAGGGTCTCTCTCTATGCCAGAACCAACCCTGTGTGCAGCCCATGGCCCTGGCTATTCCCAGGACGCACTGCACCAGTTGCCTCCGGCCTTTGCCAGGCTGGCCCTCGCTCCCACCTCCTGCCTGGCTGCCTCTGCAGGTCTCAGCTGAGCCCCTTCCCCTCTGGCCTGGAGCAGGGTCACGGGGGCCCTCCTGCAGATCAGTAGTTCCTTGAGCTGCTTTCTGCCTGCCTGCTGCCCCCCTAGATGGTGAGAGCCATGTGGGTGGGGTCTAGGGTCTTCCTGGCCCAGGGTGCACACGATGGAAGAGGGATGGGGAGCTGACTGCAGGTCCCCACTGCTGCTCCTGGCTCAGAGTGATGGGGGCGCAGCTGTCCCCATGCCCACCTCCTCCCCGCACAGCCCCGTCCTCCGTCAGATCTGAAGTCTGGGGCTGCACCCACCCACGCTCCAGGATCCTGGGCCGGTCCCCTGGGACAGCTCAGGCTTGATCTGCCGGATGAGCTTGGCACCAACACCCCCATTTCCCTCCTGCCCAGAGCTCCAGAGAGCCGCGGGTGGGAAGAGGCTTGGGGCCCAAGTTCCCAGTGGACCCTGGCTGCCCGGCCACTGCCTCTCTCACCTGGTGCTGGGTGCGAGGCTCGTGACCTGCTGATGAGACTGGGCGCTGGGCAAGCTGCCACTGCTGGGAGGCAGCAGCAGCAGCCCTGAGCCCGCCCCGGCCTCGGAGGGCAGCTCAGGAGACGTCTGGCTCGCTTTGACCCCAGCGGCCACCACCACGGCGGCCGCAGCCTCAGGGTAGGAGTCCATGTCCAGATAGGAGGGCTCGGGGGGGTCGGAGCCCCCTAGGCTGCCCGGCTCCAGCAGCTCGGCAAAGGGTGGATGGTGGGCAGCATGGGCGTGGTGGTGGGGGGCGCCCAGCAGAGGGTGGCCGCCCAGTCCGGCTCAGTCCGGCCCCCAGGTGCCCACCGCCACCCACCAGGCCGGCCAACCCCACCCCAGGGCCCAGGTCTTTGCGTAGGGGGCCACCGCCCACTGCCGAGCCTCCCTTGTCCCTCCAGGGCACCCAGCACAACTTCCAGGACACGAAGAGGGAGACGCCGAGAAGGACAATGCCACAGAAGGTCACGATGACCGACAGCAGACTCACAGAAATGTCTGGAAAGAGTGAGGATAGGGGTCAGGGGTCAGGGGTCAGGGGGACTCTGGTGTCCCCAGAGGGCCAATCCCAGTCGCTGGCGTGGATCTTCCCAGGCACTCTGTACACAGGACTTCCCCTTCGGGCATTTCCTGTAACTGCTTTACAGTGACACTGAGGTGTGTCGGCTCCTGCACGTGGTAAAGGACACAGCTGATATTGAATCCAGCAGTCTGCTCCAGATTTTACTTTTTTTTTTTCCTTCAGTACTGGGGATTGAACCCAGGGCCTTCACACTGAGCTACATTCCCCAGTCCTTTTTATCTTTTACCTCACAACAAGATCTCACAAAGTGACCAAATCGTCTGTGCTGGGCTGGGACTTATCCCGCCTCAGCCTCCTAGACAGCTGGGATGACAGGCGTGCACCACTGCACCCAGCCAGATTTTATTTTTTGGGTATCAGGGATCAAACTCAGGACCTTGCGCTTGCAAAGCAGGCGGCAGAACCACTGAGCTAAATCCCCTGCCCCTAGATTTTACTCTTAATCATTAGCCCACAGGGCTTGTGTAAGAGGACACAGCATCTGAGGCAGGACCGAGGCCCCCACCGTCATGCCCAGCGGTAACGCAGGAAGTGTGGACACCGTCAAGCGGGTCAGAACTCAAACCGCAGCTTGCTGCATTGTCTCTGGAACCCACCTTAACCACTCTGAGCCTTGCATTCGCTATTTTCCAAATGGGAACAGTCTTTTCCTTAGGTTTAGTGGAATGTAGAAGGCACATGGCATGAGGGATACAAAAGCAGACACGTGGAGAGGTCTCAGTGACACAATCATCCCCATCTCCCTGGAAGTAAACTGAGGTTGACAGATGCAACATCATCTGCCCAAAGTCCCACAGCTGGGGGTGACGGGCTCCTGGCCTCCCTCATGGGGCTGTTATGATGCCTCGGTCCTTCCCAGTGAGCAGCGGTTCAAATGTGACTTGAAATCAGAATCATCAGCCCCACCGTGCCATCATCATACCCAACAGCCTCCACATGCCCACGACATCTGGCTTGACCCAGCAGAGACCCTCGCATGGCCCCACCGCTGCCGCCCAAGGCTGGGGCTCATTCTGTGATCGGTACCAGGAGTGGGGTCCCAGAATGAGGAGCAAGGAAGTGCATATTTGTTTGGGAAAGGAAGGGCGAAGAGCAGGAATCTCTCCTCCACACCGGCCATGGGCCATGGTGAGGGTGCAGGGGGCCTGAGCCCTTTCTGCGAGGTGGGTCAGGCCGGACGCTGTGTTCAGGACGTGTAGGGCAGGGGCACCCCTGGGGCCCTGCTGCTCAATGCATGACTTCTCCCCTCAAGGCCCTGTAACCTAGGGAGGACTTGTCCCATTTTATGAGAAAGCTGGGACTCAGATGGAGGAAGTGACCCCACAGGGCCACTGCCAGGCCCTGACTGAGGGACCCTGGTCTCCTGCTGTCCCCTCTCTCTGGCTGCTCTGTCCTGTGCCTGCTGTGGTTTCCAGGGACCATGAGAGCCAGAGGCAAGGACTTCGCCAGCCTCCTGGACATGGACCAGACAGCTGCCAGCTGGACCGAGACCTGTTCAATGCACTGTGGACCCTTTGAGCCCTGCCCAAAGGGGAGCCTGGCCCTCAGCCAGCTCCTGGGAGGACTCCTGTCAGGACAGACAGACGGAAAAGGGCTCAGGTCATGTGCCGTTCTGTCTGGTAAAGTCACCTTGGTCACCTGGCCTTCGGGCCACACTGGGCAGTCTCTACCAACACTGAGACTTAAGTCGGGGGCCACAGACACACAGGAGGTCAGCTATGTCTCTGTGACCAACCTCCACAAATAGACCCCGGGCATAAAGGCTGCTCTGGTGGATGACATTCTGTATGTCTTGTCACGTGTCATTGGTGGGAGAATTAAACATGTCACGTGACAGCCTGGACTCTCCTGACCTCAGGCCCCTGCGCTGCCCTCCTTGTGGAGCTGTGCTGGGGGTTTCTGCAGTGATCAGCGGTAACCACAGCCGTGATGGCTTTCGGAGCTGAGTCCTTTATGCAAAACATGGGGTGGGGACCCCCAGACTTCGGATCTAGACTACCCAGGCTCAAACTCTGGCTCTGCTGCCTCCCTGAGGCCCTGAGCGAACAACATCCACCCTGGCTTCCTTCCTCAGCATGGTCTCCTGGCCAGTGCTCTGCCAGTGGGGCTGCAGCAAGGGCCCCCGGCAACTGCTTTCTCCTTCCTTGCTTGGTCCTGTGACCTGGAGCAAGTCCCTGCACACTTCTGAGCCAAAGGGGACGATGCATACCCCCAAGGGTCACTGCGAGTGGTCAGTGAAACACGCCCAGGGGCCGGGCCTGGCCCCTGGACTACAGCGGTTGCTCAGTACCTCAGGCCTGATGGCCACTTAGCAGCCGCCAGGCGTCCCACACTCCTGTAAGGGCTCTACTGCAGCTGTCTCCTTTGGGAGCTGGGACTACAGGCGTGCACTACTGCACCGGGCTGGTCAGTCATTTTTGTTACCCCTGTCTTCCAGATGAGGAAACTGAGGTGGGGAAGAAGAGTCGCTAACCTAAAGCCATCCAGGTGGTAGGAGGGGAGATGGGACAGGAACCCAGGACTCCAGAGCCCGAGCTTTGATTCACTGTGCAAGACCCATGACATGCAGAGGAGACACTGGGCGGCCATCGAAGCGGGAGGCCCACAGGGCAAAACTCAAAAGGCTGGGGTCACAGGATGGACCACAGCTCCTGCTCCTGGCCAGAGCTTTGGTGAATAGGCCAGCAGCAGGCAGGGTGGGGGAAAACTCTAACTGGGACTGGCCCATAGGGAAGGGGAAGCTCTCCCGGGCTTGGCCGAGATGCGGGGATGCTGACCTGCGTCGGGGCCCCGGGGGTAGCCGGGGATCCGGCTGTTGAACTCCTGGCATCTGTCTCTGGTGTCGGCGTCTCGGAACCGTGCGCAGAGCTCCGAGACCAGGATGAGCGCTCGCCGGCAGAGATCTTCCTCATAGTCTCCGGACATGGTGGCCACCTGGTCCTGTGCTTGGGAGGCGCGGGGCAGAGGTGCAGAAGGGAAGGGAACAGGGGAGGAGGGAGGTAGGGGTGTGGAGGTGACAGTGGAGAGAGAGAGATGAGGAAGGACGGGTGAGGGAACAGAGCAGGGGTGGACGGATCAGGGGCCAAAAGCAGAGGAAGAGGGATGAGGGGACAGATATTGGGAGAAAGGAAGACAAGGAAAATCTCAGGAGCAGAGAGACACAAGGGCCAAAAGTGGGGGTGGGCAAGAAAGAAACAGGGTTGGACACACCAAAGGGACAGAAGTAGGCAAGAGTGGACTGGAGGACAGAGAACAGGGCCAGGCAGACAGGGAGGGGACACTGGGGAAGCCAGCAAGGGTACACAATAAGGACGCACCGATAAAGGGACAGGCAGATAAGGAGTCAAAGGTTATGGGTGCACAGGTGCAGGGACAGACTTCAGGGAAGACACAATGACGACACACGCCTGTCACACATTCATTCAACAAATGTCCACCGAGCGTCAGTGAGGGACCAGGCACTGTGCCGGCTGTGGCAGATCCCTCAGGGAAGAAAGGTCCAGGGCGCCCTGACTTCCTAGGGTCCCAACCCAAGCAGAGGGGACAACGAGAAAACCAGAAAGCCAACACACACCAACAAATGAGACACAGGAAGCCCAGGAGGAATAGTTTAAAACAAACACAGCTGGAGGATGTGTTGCCAAGGTTGGGGACAGGGACGGTCAGCATGGGCTCCCTGGGGTGCGGGGGATGAGACAGAGCCCATCCTAAGCAACGGGCAGTGGAGCTGAGTCAGGAAAAGCATTGAGGCAGCAGGAACGGCATGCGCAGGGCTCAGGTGGGAAAGGGTAGGAGAAAGGGCCAGACTGGGACGGACAGGGAGCTGGCAAAGAGGGGCACGGAAGAGGAGCAGGTGTGGTGGTGGCTGGGAGGATGGGACAGAGTTGAGGCAGGGAGAGATGTGAGGAGCAGAGCCAGAGGGAACGGGGAGGGCGAACTGGGGCCCAGAGGAGAGAGAGATAAAGAGAGAGGGAGATCAAAGAGGCGAGAGCAGCCACGGAGACAGAGAGATGGGTGGACGGAGGGCCGGGCGGGAGCGTGTGGCAGAAATATCTTCCAGAGAGAAACAGTGGCATCAGAGAGGGGGAACGAACGCAGAGGGAAAGGACAGACAGACAGACAGTGGCTGAAGATCACAGGAGAGGAGAGGAGAGTTGGGGAGGGTGGGGCATCCAGGAGAGGGGTGTTGGGGTAGGAGTAGGGGTGACCCACGGCTGGGAGCCAGGCTTCAGAGAGTTGGGAAGGAGATGAGGAGCAGAATTACGGACGGACGGACAGACAGGGCTCACAGACGGGCAGGTGTGGTGGGGGTGCAGCACCGGGCCAGGACTCGAGCAGGCATGGCCAGACTCACCGGCGCTTATCCCTGCCTGGTCCTGTGTCGCAGCCGAGGCGGCGGCGGGCGGCAGCCCATGAGGGCTGCAGGGCAGATTAGGGGCTGCGGACCGGTTTCCACCAGCGCCGGGTGGTGGTGGAGAAAGGGTGTCAGATCTGGGAGAAGGGGGCAGGCCGGGACAAAAAGCTCAGTTCAAACCACACAGCTTGCCCTAGACGCGAGCCAGCAGCAGCCAGACCCCAGGCGACCGCGGGGGTCCAGCCGCCTCCTCCCATCTCAAGCGCCCCCTTCCCAGCTAGCGCTAAGCGCTTTGGAACTACAATTCCCGGCAGGCATCGCACTCGCGCGGCTGCGGCTTGCCCGGCCCGGTGCCGCGAGGGCTACTGGGAGTTGAAGTCTTTAATGCCTCTCCGGGCTGCAGAGAGATTTTTTTTTTTTTTTGGAGGTGTCGGGGGAGAGGGGGGGTTAAAATGCCAGGGTCCCAAGACTCTGCAAGGGAGGGCAACGCTATCCAGGACCTCCAAAGGCCGCGCAGTCCTAAGACCTTAGGGGTCATGGCATGTGCTAAAAGGTCCCCAGGCCGTAGGAATCGGTGGGAGAGGAGTGGGGTACCCCCAGGTGTTTCGGGGACCCCGTTTCCAGGGCCATGTGCCCCTCCCCCGGGGCGCCCGGCGAGCACTGCAGACTCCCCCTAAACTGCCTGAGATCCGCGCGCTGCACCGACCCCACCTCCCACGCTTCGGGGCCACCCCCGCCCCCCAGGACGGGGTTGGGGCGGG